AAGCCCTAAATCATAAACCCTGAATCCTAAACCCTAAGCCCTAAGCCTTCAACCCTAAGTCTTCAACCCGAACCCTGAACCATTAAACCCACAAAAGGTACTGCAAAAAGCTTCCTTCTTTCCACCATTCTGGTCCCAGCGGCACGTAGATGCGGAAGGCATCGCCATGGCGGGCACGCATGTTGAGCAGGACTGAGTCGAACCTTACCCAAAGAATTTACTGGCCTTTGGTTAGCTGGGAATGAAAGGTAAGAAAATGGAAACTACAAAAAAGGGCTATATAGGGACTACTATGAGGATCCATTCCTTCATTCCTAGCTAACCAAAGGTAAGTTCAAGCACCTAGCGTCGCAGTACTCATAGCTGGCAAGATTCCAGACTTGGCTTGCAGATTAAAGTCAGGAAAAAACCTGTGATAAACCTTCTGCTTTCAGGCTGTCCCTGAAGCTGTTGCCAGTTACGATTCAGCTCAGGCTTCCAAGGTGCAAGGGCTAAGGAGTTGGGTGTATGGGTCCTGTTGAGGGCGTTGTGTTTCACGTCAATGGTTTATGGCTTGCAGCTTTCTAACCCCTTCGTGTCGGTGAGTTGAAAATGCAGGGTCAGTTGACATAGTGTTTGATCACCGATACAAGATCTAACGAGATACACGAAAACCACATCACCTTCACAGACTGGAGCTAGTAAGTATACTCCTGGCCAGCTCAGGTGACTGGGATGCCGGCTTAGGGATTGGGACTGTATTCAACGCTCACTCAATAAAACTGTCCATGCTAAGCATAGACCGTTGCTCAGCTCTGTATAGGGCACAGCGCCTTTTATGCGCTTGCGCATTAAGTCATACTTCAAGTTCTAAACCCTCAACCCTGAACCCTTAAGTGTACTCGCCCTGCCCAGGCATCGCCGCTTTTCAAACTCTTGCCAGCATGCGCTGAATGCGTTAACTCCTACTGGGAGAGTCAGGTGAGTTTTTAATAATGGAGAAGGAAACGGAATCCAAGTATATATCATTTAGGGTTTAGGGTTTATGGTCAGGGGGGGCGTAGTAAGTAGGTTAATAATGGTGATAACTGGGGTCACTATACAGCTTCTAGGGGTTATAAGTACCCTAAACCCCAGTACAGTTACTAAGTCACCCTGACCCTCCAAGTAGCCAAAAAGGATGCAGAGATGGGCAGGCCTTGCATTTTGACAACCTTGCTGGGACGTCTTGATATGAGCTATAGCCTATACTCCTAGTATCCCCCTTAATAACCCCCATAGTAGTCCCCAACGTAATCCCCTATAGAAGCCCCCTCTAAGGAGTTTAGACTATAGCTCATATAAAGCCTTCTGCAAAATCGAGCGACCCCCGAGACCATGGCCTACATGTTACTGGGATCCTGTCGTAATTTTGGGAACTTACAATATTCCTTAGGAGGAACCCTCACTCCGTAATAGAGGTGGAATAGGAATACTAGAGGACCCTAATATAGTCCTTATTATCCTTCATAGCCACTATTAGAGGGTGGGGGGTCCACCTCCGGTATCCCTTGACCATCGCATAGTTTAGAAAGGCCGGTATTCGGCGCATGCCCCTCTCCCATCCCGTGGCAGGATCTGCGAATCACCCGCCGTGGCCGCCCTGCCACGCGAGATTCTCGCAGATGAGATCTTCCAACCTAGGGCTTAGGCTTTAGGGGTTTAGGGCATATGTTTCCCCAAACACGTGTCATGGAACCCGTACGATATCCCCCATGTCTTTCCGATGCTTCCTGCTAATCTCCTTCTGAAACCTTAATTAAACCCTAAACAGTGGGATCTGCCTTGAAAAGCTGCTGGCATGCAAAGATCGGAAGTTGTTTGACATCGCCTCAGGGTAGAAACCTCCCAAGTTCTAGGATTCAAGATCGCGCTGCCTGCCCCTCTCATGCACCCCCCAGAAATGGTGCAAACAAATACGTTTTTGAAAAACTCACATGTTCCTTGCCGGAGACCAGAAACACAGAAGTCACAAAAAACACGTCAAAGCAGAGGCCCCTGCTGCAACACGCACGCCAAAACTCTACAATTCCCAATTATCTGCCGAAGGCCACTGCTTGTGGTATTGTGTACTGCCTTTGACAGGTTCAAATGGCGGCATTCGAGGTCGGTATAGGACATAGATTCCGTCCCACTGGGTGCAGTGTGTTTGACTGAGGGTTCCCGAAAGACTATGCTCTACAGGTTAGAACGGCTGCAGCCGAACTGGCATTCGAAGTCAGTCAGTATGGGTGGGACTTAGACTTCGCCCCACTGGGCGAAGTGTTTTTGGTGATTACTCGGATGCACTTGCAACACGAACGTTATTATTATGGTTTGGGCATTGATACTCTGGTAGCGGGATGCTCTTGAACATGAACGTTGTTATGATTTGGGCATGCTCTGGTGTTCCTGAAACAGTGTGTTTTACAGGTTAAAATGGCTGTAGCTGAAGCTACGCAAAATTGTGAGTCCTCATGGATGCTCTCAAAAGCCCTCAAAACCGAAATCTCATCGGTCACGAGGGTTTTTGTCAGAGAACCCTAGGCGCTGAGGGAATGCTGAACCTTAAGCGTTTAACCCTAAAGCCTACTAGTCCCCCAAACCCTGATCCCCAAACCTGAGTCCCTAAACCCTAAAAACTTAAACCTTGAACCCTAACACCTTAATCCCTGAAACCCCGAACTCTAAACCCTTAAACCTTTAACCCAAAAAACCTAAACCTTTCACCCTAACACCCTACTACTCAAAAAAGGCCAGCCACTCCCCAAGCCCCTGCAGAGGCGTCGCCTGCGGCGTCACGTATCGAGCCACAAAGGCGCTGAAGGTCTGCGCTTCGCGAATCCTTGGTCCAATGCCCAAGTATGGGACCCCGGGCTTTAGGGTGTGGGCTTCAGGGCTTAGGATTTAGGGCTAGGAGTTTAGGCTTTAAGGGCTAAGGGTTGAGGGTTTAGGGTTTCAATCCTTTGTCTCAGGGCTGAGGGAGGGTGGGGGTTTGGGTGGATTTAGGGTTTGGGTTCTGAAGGAGTTTGCCTGTCTAATCCTTTGTCCCGGGCCCAAGTATCAACCCCTAATTGAAAGAGGCCCTCAGGCTAAGAGTCAAAACAACCCTACTGTGGGTGTAGGGTTTAGGGTTAGGGTTCATCTGAAGCCGGCTACTCATTAACATTCTGATGCTTCTACACCAGAGGGACCCCCAATGGTCCCCTAGTAACCCCTATATACCTCAACGCCCCTGAGGTTTAGGTTTTCTAGAACAACCCAGCAGGATGTCTGAGGTTGGCTGGTCCTGATTAAGGTTTAGAGTTGATGCTTTCAGGTCTAAGATTCAGGGTTTAAGGGTTCGGGCGGATTCGATTTGAGGGGGTTTAGGGTTTCGGGGGTTAGGGCGCAGGGTTTAGACGCACTGTTTAGGTAAATCCCTCGCTAGCACGCTCACTTGGGGAATGGGGGCATGAATCCCTCCAGTAGTCCCTATGCATTCTACAACATGACCCCCCATCAAGATCCCAAGATCCACTCCATGCCTCCTTGGGCAGTGTGCCCGAAACCCTACAGCCTGAACCCTAAGGCTCCTGAGGGATCCCAGGCATATATGGGGACTACACGGGACGGGCCATAGGATGCTATACAGGGATCATCAGGGTATCATGTATGCATGACCCATCTTGGAAACGCAAAACGTTCCAAAGTGAATCCGCGTATCTTCAGGGAATAGCAGCCTGAGCTATGCCGGAGCAGTTCTTCTTACTCAGGCTGAGGTGTAGTTGGTACCGGGGAGACGGAACAGGCAGGGCTCAGGGCTTAGTTGGCAACAGGGATAGGATTCCTGCAGGGGGGGGATTTCAATACAGCTTCCGGACCTATTAAATTTGTGTATCTAAGCCTTTGCATTACAAACCACATCGCCGGCTTCTAGTCCAACGAACGCCCAAAGCCGGCCACGGCAGTTTCAAGCGTATCTCCCCAAACTCGCAGTCGCTTACACTGTAGAAGGAATTATGGAAAAGGCTTCAACAAGCTCTCGAGAAATGGAGGGAAACGTGGGAAGAGCCTCTCTCGAGAAATGGTGGGAAACGTGGGAAGAGTCTCCTGAACACATTGAGATACCGGGAGGATTCAAGTAGTGTCCCATGCCCACGGCAAAATGGTTTTGGCTTCTAGGGCTTTCCTTGAAGGTCCACACTCCTTGCATCCATGAGCTCAAGCCAAGACACCAACAGCCTAGATCCCCAGAGGCCAGACTCCCTGAACCCCGAGCCTCCGCCCCTAACCTTTAACCCCTGAGCCCTAGACCCCGAAGCCTGGACCTCAAACTATAAGCCGTGACCTTAAATCCCCTGCCTGCTATCAGCGGCGCTTGTAAGTGGAAAGTTTCTTCTCGTACATGCAACAACTTCGACTCGAAATCCATCCTGGAACCCTCTTGCATGCCACCCTAGATCTCAAGTCAACCATCCTAAATCGAAGGGGAAAGGCTATACAGCCACTTCCCCCACCTCTTTGCACTCCTGACACATGGATTTCTTGATTTTGGGGGGTCTGTATGCAAGCACGCATCTTCTCGAAACCCCCATACTTGAAATCGGAGGGACGTAGTACTGGGGATTGTAGTGTTATGAGTATACTTCCTAAGCCCCCAGGACCCTAAACCCTAAGCCCAGCAGAACCCGCACGATATCAACCTAGACACAAAGCCCCTCATCTCTAGACCCTGAGCCTCTAGTGCTTAGGGTTCAAGGCTTAGGGTTTAAGGTTCAAGGTTTACGATTTAGGGTTGATGCTAAAAACTCTGCATGAACCGAAAATACAAAAGTCCCACAATTCCCAAAATGTATTATACTTGTGGGATCGCAGGATTTTTTTTGTATCCACCATAGGGCAGGTTTGCGGGCCGTGTAAAAATTCACTGTTTATGGCGCTGTAATGATGACATGAGGAAGTATCAAGAGCAATAAATTAAAATCGAAATTGGGCTCTAAGCTACACCCTACACCCTGAACC